ATATTAACCTTTGTTGTGTGCTGTCACCAAATATAGCTATATTTTAAATATTAACCTTTGTTGTGTGCTGTCACCAAATATAGCTATATTTTAAATATTAACCTTTGTTGTGTGCTGTCACCAAATATAGCTATATTTTAAATATTAACCTCGGTTGTGTGCTGTCACCAAATATAGCTATATTTTAAATATTAACCTCGGTTGTGTACTGTCACCAAATATAGCTATATTTTAAACATTAACCTTTGTTGTGTACTGTCATCAAATATAACTATATTTTAAATATTAACCATGGTTGTGTACTGTCACCAAATATAGCTATATTTTAAATATTAACCTTTGTTGTGTACTGTCACCAAATATAGCTATATTTTAAATATTAACCTTGGTTGTGTACTGTCACCAAATATAGCTATATTTTAAATATCAACATTGGTTGTGTGCTGTCACCAAATATAGCTATATTTTTAATATTAACATTGGTTGTGTGCTGTCACCAAATATAACTAAATTTTAAATATTAACCTTGCTTGTGTACTATCATTACACATAGATATATTGTATCTGTTAAACTTAGATTATTTACTGTTATTATACACACAGGTAAATGTTGTTCAACAATAACTTATCCATCTGTAAAACTTTTAAGATAACACATTTCTTTACGTCTTCTATAATCGTTAAAAAGCTAAGTTAGGTATTCTCCTATAACATGTAAAAAATCCCCTCTCCTTTAGAACATAGTAACGCATTCTCCTATATCATACGATAACGTTTTATCTACAGCAGCCTATACTCTTATAACTGGTAAGTTAAAGCTATTCTCCTGTAATACGTGGTAACACTTTATTACGTAACAACATAGTATCCTGCATCAGGTATAGAGAAACCTATTCTCCTAAACTACTTAGATCATTTACTAGCCTTTCTTCCTGTATTACAAAGTCACTTTTTTTTGGAATCACAAACCATCTATCTGTCTCTAACACCCAAATTGTTTGTTTTCCAACAGAGAATCTGTTTGCTTGGGTTGTTGTATTTATTGTGCCAATTAACAGTGCCCTGAACCCAGTTCTTTACACCTTCGGGTACCGTATCCGGGAGATAAAGGGACTAACACAGGGTTTGCTGGAGTGGTGTTGCAAACCTACAGAACAGGTGTGGAAAACAGGTAAGTAAAGTCAGGTAGGTGATTACTTTATAGGTAACACCTGGTAGAAGTTACTGTATAGGTAACATCTCGTAGGTGATTACTTTATAGGTAAAGCCTGGTTTTTAGTTGTTTATTGGTAAAGGCAGGTGTGTAGTTGTTAACAGGTAAAGTCAGGTGTGTAGTTTTTAAAGGTAAAGGCAGGTGTGTAGTTGTAACTTTACCTGTAAAAATCTACACACCCAAGATTAATTATCTACATTTACACACCTGACTTTACCTGGACCAACTAAACACCTAACTTTACCTGTAAAAATATACGAGATTCCCACTGTCCCTATCTAATATCTAGCGAAACCACAGCCAAGGGAACGGGCTTGGAAAAATCAATACCAACAACTACGTGTAAAAATTAACACCTGACTTTACCTGTAAAAATCTACACACCCAAGTTTAACTATCTACCACTACACACCTGACTTTACCTGTTAACAACTACATACCTGCCTTTACCTGTTAACATCTACACACTTGACTTTACCTTTAAAAACTACACACCTGACTTTACCTGGACTAACTAAACACCTAACTTTACCTGTAAAAATCTACACACCCAAGATTAATTATCTACAACTACACACCTGACTTTACCTGGACCAACTAAACACCTAACTTTACCTGTTAACAACTACATACCTGCCTTTACCTGTTAACATCTACACACCTGACTTTACCTTTAAAAACTACACACCTGACTTTACCTGGACCAACTAAACAACTTTACACGTAGTTGTTGGTATTAAAGCCAGTTTGTATTTTTTTGACAGATACATTCAGATGTGTAGTTTTTACAGGTAAGGGCAAGTGTATTATTTTGACAGGTAAAGCCAGTTGTAGACTATTAACAAATAATGGGCATATTGAAATCAACTAAAGTTCTCTTATTAAGTAGTTGTGACAAAGTAAATGTAGAGATAAGAAAACCGAGTTATTATTAATATTGTTACTAAACTGTTCCCATCTTGTGATAATTTGTTATTTCCAGGACATGAGTCATCAGCCGGTATAGAGTGCGGATCTGTCAGTGATGATGGCATTCTACTGCACTCGTCGGTCATCATTGATCTCAACAAGAGTATGCATGAGGAGGACCACCCATTAAGACAAGAAACAAAACTTTAGTAACTACACCTGTAGCATATTACCTGGATCGACTTCTAAGTATCAGGGTATCTTTCACCTAACCTGTTATCTTCTATCCACATTACAGTTTTTTAGTCGATAGAAAAAAACAATTCTTTAAGAGAAGTAGACCAGTGAAATGAAGAGAATGGTATTAAAAAAACACTATGATTCAAGCAAGGTGCTAGAAATATCACAAACCTACTGGGAATACGATGACTTGGGATATAACAGTGGTAGAGACATGGTAACCTGTTGGTGAATGTCATTGTTTGGGATATAATAGTGGTAGAGACATGGTAACCTGTTGGTGAATGTCATTGTTTGGGATATAATAGTGGTAGACTCATGGTAACCTGTTGGTGAATGTCGTTGTTTGGGATATAATACTGGCAGAGACATGGTAACCTGTTGTTGAAAGTCATGGTTTGGGATATAACAGTGGTAGAGACATGGTAACCTGTTGCTGAATGTCGATGTTTGGGATATAATAGTGGTAGAGACATGGTAACCTGTTGGTGAATGTCGTTGTTTGGGATATAACAGTGGTAGAGACACGGGAACCTGTTGGTGAATGTCATTGTTTGGAATATAATAGTGGTAGAGACATGGTAACCTGTTGGTGAATGTCATTGTTTGGAATATAATAGTGGTAGAGACATGGTAACCTGTTGGTGAATGTCGATGTTTGGGATATAACAGTGGTAGAGACATGGTAACCTGTTGTTGAATGTTGTTGTGTGGGATATAACAGTGGTAGAGACATGGTAACCTGTTGGTGAATGTTATTGTTTGGGATATAACAGTGGTAGAGACATGGTAACCTGTTGCTAAATGTCTATGTTTGGGACATAACAGTGGTAGAGACATGATATTCTGTTGGTGAATGTTGATGTTTGGGATATAACAGTGGTATAGACATGGTAACCTGTTGGTGAATGTTGATGTTTGGGATATAATAGTGGCAAAGACATGGTAACCTGTTACTGAATGTCATTGTTTGGGATATAACAGTGGTAGAAACATGGTAACCTGTTGGTGAATGTGTATGGGATGTAACAGTGGTAGAGACATGGTAACCTGTTGCTGAATGTTGATGTTTGGGATATAACAGTGGTAGAGACATGGTAACCTGTTGGTGAATGTCGATGTTTTTAATACATTTGATGTGTAATATTTGTTATTAGTTACATATATGTACTAACTAAAGAATGTATTGATTAAGTAACAAATCAATTAACTAGAAAAAAGAAATACGGTATACACGGTCATGATGTTAGAAAAATACTTAGGTTCAAGAAGTCTTATTGTAAAACGATAAAAAACCTATAACCCGAGTGCTTTCGAAAGGTGGTATAGAGAGTAACACTGAAAATATAAACGTAAGCATTTTGTTTTATTAAACTATCGTACTCGAAACAATCTAATAACAATGAGAAAACACTTTTGTTTGATTGCTGGACTTTAATCAGAACGAACCCTCTAAGTGGAGATACTTGTTTGACTGCTGGACTTTAATCAGGATGGACCCTCTAAGTAGAGATACTTGTTTGACTGCTGGACTTTGATCAGAACGGACCCTCTAAGTAGAGATACTTGTTTGACTGCTGGACTTTGATCAGAACAGACCCTCTAAGTAGAGATACTTGTTTGACTGCTGGACTTTGATCAGAACGGACCCTCTAAGTATAGATACTTGTTTGACTGCTGGACTTTGATCAGAACGGACCCTCTAAGTGGAGATACTTGTTTGACTGCTGGACTTTAATCAGGACGGACCCTCTAAGTAGAGATACTTGTTTGACTGCTGGACTTTAATCAGAACGGACCCTCTAAGTAGAGATACTTGTTTGACTGCTGGACTTTAATCAGAACGGACCCTCTAAGTAGAGATACTTGTTTGACTGCTGGACTTTAATCAGAATGGTTTATTTGTTTGTTGTTAAGCGATAAGCTACATAATGGGCTATGTGTGCTTTCCCAATGCAGGCAGGTATCAAAATCCTAGTTGAGGCATCAAACTTACCATTAAGCCACCGAGAAATAATCAAACAAACCTTCCATGTTTGTTTATTTACTAGACTTTACAATATTTCTATCACCTGACATAAAGTTCAAATTCTCCGTATTAGTTTAATCTAATGTTTTACATTTTAAAATTTTGTGTTAAAATTGTTTTAAGAATGTTTCATTTTAAACTTTCCTCACTAATTTATTATTTTTATTAAAATGATTCTGATTTTACTGTGCTGCTATCTAGTGATGTTAACAGGTACTACAAGTGCGTTATTCAGAATTACTGTATTTAATTTAGTGTCTCCCATGATTGTATTATCATATTTCAATGTATAAAATAAGTTTAATTAAATGTTTGAATTATGATGTATGTACTCTACTTGTTTGCTCTTAAAGAAATACCTAGCATGAGCTGGTGGTTAGGACATTTGACTTACAATATGCGCGTCGCAGGATCAAAACCTGGAATCAAATATACTTCCTCTTTCAGCTTTTGAGGTGTTACAATGTGACGGTCAATCCCATAATTCTTTAGTGAATCGTTTGTAATTAAGCACAAAGCTACACAATGAGCTATCTTTGCTCTGCCCACCACGGGTATCGAAACTTGGTTCTTAGCATTGTAAGTCTGCAGATATACCGCTGTGGGGCATCGTTAGTGAAGGAGTATCACAAGATGATGCCACAACTATACTTGCCTGATAGATGGAACATGGATAAACACACAAGGTCATGGGTGTATCTGTCAGATACACCCATGACCTTGTGTGTTTATCCATGTTTCATCTATCAGACAAGTATAGTTGTGGCATCATGTTCATTATCAGATACACCCATGATCTTCTGTGTTTATCCATGTTTCATCTATCAGACAAGTATAGTTTTGGCATCATGTTCGTTATTAATGAAGAATGAACATGATGCCTGTTTATCCATGTTTCATCTATCAGACAAGTATAGTTGTCACAAGGACATGGGTGTATCTGATAATGAACATGATGCCACAACTATACTTGTCTGATAGATGAAACATGGATAAACACACAAGATCATGGGTGTATCTGATAATGAACATGATGCCACAACTATACTTGTCTGATAGATGGAACATGGATAAACACACAAGGTCGTGGGTGTATTTGTCTACACTTACTGTATGTTTAAACTGCTAACTTTTTTTTAAAATCAATATCTTTAATTGTATCAAGATTATACAAACTTTTTCAAGCAGCACTTTTGTACATACAGTCTACAAAAATAAAAATACCGAATTTTTAAAACATATTTACAGTTTTAGTTTTGTTTCATCTAATACTGAACTTTATATAAACTCTTTAAGACGCACAAGGAGTATAATTACATTTCCAATATTCATTGATTAACCTGCATTATAAGTGAACTTAAACCAAATTAATTTTATGGGTAATTATTCCTTCATACCAAGCCGTTAGAAATCGGAATGCTGGTATATTTCCGTTTTTAAATTGATTTAAATTTCCGAACCATTATGAAACAACGTGAAATGAAAAATTAAAACAGTTTACTTTGATACTAGACATAATAGAATTTTTTTTACTTTTATAACAACCAGGTTTATTAAATTTTATTTCACTAATATTTACAGTCTTGTATCAATAATCTTAGTTAAAAAGTACAATAATCAATCTGATCGACATATTAGGATTTTAACAGTATTTATAAGCAATATCAAATAACTGTTCTTGTACTTCTGTCAATAAAATGATAATTAAGATAAAACCTCCGATCACAAGAATAGGAAGATAAACATTTAAGCCAGTCAACAAATAGATGAAAATGCAAAGAGAAATACCTTTCTCTAACATTACACTAGTTACAAAAGTGTTAGTTTTGGGTTTCTCAGAAAATGGATGTTTATAGAAAAATATATATATATATATCTATGTATACATATAAATTCAAAAACTAAAGATTTATTTTTCAGTAAGTTAACTTAGTTTCTCTTACAGAGTTATGTGATCTTATCCCCAACTTTTTAATGTAGCAGCCTTTTCACTGTCATATTTATTATGAATAATTAAAATTCAAATAAAGAGAACTTACAGGTATGTCCTATCAGCACGTACGAGTCGATTTTCGATATTTAACACACGATGCATGACCAAATTTACAAGATGAGGTAATTAAACTAGCAAGTTACACCAAATTTATAACAATAAGGAGGAGAAAGTGTAAGTTAATCACTCTCTCGGTACAGTGAAACATGATCATAACACTTACTAAAACACTTAGAGAACGGTGACCAATGAGCTGTTAATAATGCTACACTGTTTCACATATGAACTATGGAAATAAATAAAAATATATGAAATACATACAGTTCTTTAAAATTGAGTATTTTTGTAAACATTTATGTACACAAGTCTGTGAATTCTCTACATGGAGAACTTTTCATTTGCTTATGCATCTTTCGTAACACAG